CGCCTCGTGTCCTCAGGGCCTGCCTCCGAGCGGGGGAGGAAGTTGGTTGTTACTTTCTGGTTTGCTCCTGAAAGTTACTCGGAGAGGACCAACCCCGCATTCCCGGATTCCTCGAGACTTCTGTCGTTCCGAAAACGAGATTTTTCCTGCCCTAGGCCCCGACCTGCCGGTGCCCACCTCACTCTCGGCAGCCCCCCCACACCCGGGCGCTCACCCCGGCCAGGTCATTTACATAAGAAAGAGCCTCCGGTCCTGCTGGGAACCTCACTCTCCCTGCCTCGGGGCATGGGGGTGGGGAGATGAGGCAGGGCTGGGCCCGGGGCGCTCTCAGAATTGAGTTTCTGAAATGCCCGGGATTAAGGGATCGGCTCCGGCCCGAGACTTGGCTGGGATTGGAGGGAAGGGCTGAGCTGGGGAGGTATTGGGAGGGGTTGTGGCTTGTTTTAGAGCTGCGAGGCAATGATTGAGCGTTGTTCAATTACATACTTGAAATTTCAGTGTCGGTGGAAACACATTTTTGGGAAAATCTCTTGACATCATCGTTCTGTGGGGCAACCTGCACCTGTTCCCATTCTAGTGGTCCTTAGGGCAAAGGAGGCACCTTGATGTAGTGAGGGCAGATGACCCACCAAAAAAGGATGACAGTACCCAGCTTCAGACTGGAGAAGTTTTGCTGTGTTTGTAACGGCTGTTAACTCTTTCCTGGGATGTGGCACTGCACTTAAATTCGGTTTATTTAAAAACGTGTCTTTAAGCCGGCAGGATCTTGGCAACTTCTCAACTTCCAAGAAATGAGTTAACTCTTGGTGAAGGCTGTCATCTCTTGGCAAGTCCTAAAATACAAAGTGAAGGATCATTAATCTCAGGGAGGTCTTTTCAGTTGGGTATCACCCCAGGACATTTAGATCTTCCTATAAATGTACTCTGCCCCAATCTAGAAGAAGACACTAGGACTGGAACCCGGGTGTGGTTATACCGCTCTCCATTTTGGATTGGGAGGGGGCATCTCTCTGTTACCAGAGAGTGGAAAAATAATTAGCCAGGGTCTCTGGAAATGAGTTCTGATTCTTGTCTTGTGGTTTATTAACCACAGGACCTAAAGCCTCTTTGGACAGCCTGTTTCTTTTTGTGAAATGCAGATGATAGCAGCAAGCTTGTCTGCTTTATGGAGTTAAGATGACTAAGTCAACAATGTAGATCATCAATGAGATTGTCATCCCGTCGGCTTCTTTTCTCTACCCTTTCAACCGGTGGTGTTCTTGAAGGCACCTGAGTGCATTTCCTCTAAATTACCAATGGGGGCAGAATTGAATCAGGCCTCGAACTTAATAGGTGTCAGAACCTGGGACTAAGATTCCCGGCTTAGGTGAGCAAAGCTGATTGATTCCAACTCCAATTAGATAGGAACTAGGGAAATAATCAGAGACTAGACTATCTTGGGTCCATCTTTCTGAGTTGTGCTGGAAGAAAGCATTAAGAGAAAAGGATGAAGATTGAGTTTAATTTTAAAATCTTTAGATGAGGACTTTTGGTTTGAACTCTTCTGAAATGTCCTTGTATTACCATTTTACATACTCTGGGTTGTATGTAGTCTGAGGACATGGAAGGTTTGGACTTACCTGCCCAGTGGGATCACTTGTCTCCTCCTGGGCAAGCCCAGTCTTGTATGGCATTGGGAGGAAGAAGGGTTATTTGCTCATTTTTGCCAGTTGACACTTTGGAACTCAAGAACAGACACTGTACATGTATTGTGTACCTGGGACTGTTTTAAGCTCTATTCATATGTTAGCTTATTAAAATTCACAACAACCCCATGAGGTAAGTATGAGTGGTATCAACATCTCTGTTTTACTGGTGAGCAGCTGAGGCCCAGAGTAACTTGTCCAAGGTCACTAACTTTTCTGGAAGAGCTGGGAATTGAAGCCATGCGTTTGGCTCCAGATCACTATGATCTTGACCACAAACTCGTCTGCCTCTGAGGAACGTTAGGGGTTTCTGGCCTGTGCCTGTGTCATGGATGTTGGAACACCCCCCCCCCCCCAGCATGTCCACAAACGGAACTAGATCTCTTGTTGTTTTTTGAACAGTGGTACCAGTAGCCTCTGGCTATTCTGGCTGAGAGTCCTGGATTCCTTTTCATTAACTTTCTTTCTGACTTTGTCAGCTGGTCTCTGGGTTATTTCAGAGGTCTCCTAAGGGTTTCCCTGTTTCTAGTCTCTTTCTGGAGCCAGACTGCATCATTTCAGAAGCCTTCTACAACTCTGCATTGGCTACTGATTGCCCCGCCCTATCTCCCACCTCAGCCTCATCTTCCTCTCCATCCTTTTATTCCCTAAAGACTTAAACTGCCATTCCTCTATCATGTCTGTTCACACTTGCTCTTTTAGCCCTTGCCTTTCTTGTGGTCCTGAATATCCTGCCTGACTTTCTCCTACTTAACTTCTTCCAGATCAAATGATAACTTCTTTCTCAACTTTCTTTCTACCTCATTCTCTTCCTCCTGTGTGCCTGTGCCCACGTTAGTGCACTTGAACCTTGCTTGCCATTTGTTTCATTCCACCATACATTAGAGTCGGTGGCTTTTAGTTCTGAGAGTGCTAAGAAGCACTTTTTTCTTTACCCTTGAATGAATTAACATCCTTCTGAACTGCTCATCCAAAGCCAACATTTTTTTTAAGCATCTCTTTCGAAGTTGAACTCTTCTAGTACCCTGGGGAGTTTGAGGGCATTTGGGGGTCCTTTTCCAGGGGGAATCAGAGCAAAACAAACCACAAAGTCAAAATGTGGCAACTGGAGTAAGGAGATCGGGTGTACTGAAAGAACTTGGGAGCCCCAGAAAACTGGCTTCCTTTGTTCAGATACTTCCGGTTTAAAAGACCAACTCTTGATAAGAGGTTCCTCATTATCATTGTTGAATTTTGCAGTCAGCCAGTTTGGTTTGTTTTCCAACACTGTATGTTGTCTGTTTTTGCCTTTTCAAAGCAATGGGAGTGGGTGTGGCAAATCAAATCCCAGAGTTCACTGGCTGCATCTCAGTATCACATCCTGTGGATCCCATGTCACATTCCGTTGAATGGGGTGGCTGTTTCTGCTTTGTTTTTGAGTTAGTGTCTCACTCTATTGCCCAGGCTGGAGTGCATGATGAGGGTTCACTGCAGCCTTGACCTCCTGGGCTCAGGCGATTCTTCCGTCTCAGCCTCCCAGGTAGCTGGGACTACAGGCTACAGGTTCTTGCCACCACACTCTGCTCACTTTTTATTTTTTGTAGAAACAAGGTCTTACTATGTTGCCTAGGCTGGTCTTGAACTCCTAGGCTCAAGCAATCCTCCCACCTGAGCTTCCCAAAGTGCTGGGATTACAGGTATGAGCCACTCCACCCTGACTGTTTCTGTTTATTTTTAGAACAGTTTTCTCAACCTTTGTACTATTGACATTTGGGGTCAGATAATTTTCATTATTTATTTATTTTTGTGAGGGGGCTTTCCCAATCTATTTTAAAGAGCACAAATTTCCATCCTATTCAGATTTACGGGGGGCAAAGCTTATCTTTTTATTTTTTATTTTATTTTATTTTTTGAGTCAGAGTCTCATTCTGTCGCCCAGGCTGGAGTGCAGTGGCACGCTCATGGCCACTGCAGCCTCGACCTGGTGAGCTCAGGTGATCCTTCTGTCTCAGCCTTCCAAGCAGCTGGAACTACAGGCATACGCCACCATGGCTTATCTTTTTAAAAAACTATTCCATTAGAGCAATAGTTTTCAGCTGGGAGTGATTTTGCCCCCCAGTGGACTTTGGAAATGTCTGGAGACATTGTTGGTTGTCACAAGATGGGTGGGTGGGTATGTGTTACTGGCTTCTAGTAAGTAGAGGCTAGGGGATGATGCTGAATACCTCTCAATGCACAGGCTAGCTCCCCTCCTCCACTCCCCAACAAATAATTATCTGGCCTCAAATATCTATAGTGAGGTTGAGGAACTGCTTTAGAACATGGTCCATTCCTCGGCACCCCTTTCAGCGATCCTTCCACCTCAGCCTTCTAAGTAGCCAGAACTACAGACACGTGCAACCATGCCTGGCTGTTTTTTATTGTAGAGACACGGTCTTGCCAAGTTGCCCCGGCTGGTCTTGAACCTGTGGGTTCAGGCAATCCACTTGCCTCGGCCTCCCATAGTGCTGGGATTACAGGCTGAGCCATCAAGCCCAGCCTCAGTTTTCAAATGTGTTGCTTATGGTCAGACAGCTAACTGGTAGCCCCAGTTGAGACGAGAGCCCTAGGATGTC